GCTTCCTGAGTTCCCCCATCCGCAAATTGCCGCCGCCCATTGTTTGTTTTAAAAGTATTCCGTCCGTATTCCATGCAGGTTCAGTGGCAGGCCATCGCATAGTTTCAGTTTTCATTCAATTGAATTGTTTCCTGCGGCCGCAGTTCACTCTTTGCTTATAGAAAAAGGTGCGTAATTAAAACGATGCCAGGCGCAGACAATTAAATGCATGCCACACCGATACGCACACCCACACCCAGCCAGAACAAAAGATGAGCGATGAGTTTGCGTTTAATTACGTGGACAGGCGCCGGAGATTTTAATTTATGATGCGTGAATTTGAGTGCCGCGCAGGAGCTCCGAATACGAAAATCAAAATCAAAAGGATAAAGGCTGCGGGACGCCAAGGAAGCGCGCGCGCGGTTTGAGTTGTCAACGTGACAGTTGGCGAAAAACGGAAATTGAATTCTAAAATATTTATAGTTACCGCCCGCAATCCCTGCGCACTCCCGCCACTCATCGCCCATTTTCTATTTGCGTGGGTGTGTGTGGTTTTCTGAAAGCTTAGCATAGTTTTTGGGGCAGCCCAGTGATTTATGCAGTGCTCAGCAACAAATTGCAAATGAAACGCAATGAAACGAATCGGAACGGAATGAATTACTACTTATGCATGCATGTACGCCGCATAAGCACACAAAGTTCATATTACACCCAAGGCCATACAACTAGCCCTTCTTCGCGCAGTTCAAAGGAGGATGCTCTCAAAGTACTGCTCTATCAGGTACGGGCCTAGCACTTCTACCTCCACTGTGCTCGTTCAAAAAACATATAGCTATGAGCCGGTCTAGTCCCATCAAATCGGAGTCCAACTTATTAGTCGGAATGCGGATATTTCGGCCCATCGGCTCGGACACATGTTACACAATGTTGAGCCATAGATTTATTGCCAACAATCATCGGGATTTGCAGCGGGAGCTGCCAGCAAGGCTCTGCAGGACACGAAACAACTGCTGCCCTGACATTGACTATTGAAAGTCAATTTCGGGTGCGTGCCACACGCTCATTTGTCCAGTTTATGGCCAACATCATTTGTTTTGGCATTTTTGCCAATGAGGCGCAAACGCCTTTTATGCGTTCCAATAAATTCTCGCTTCCGGCATTCAAGTTCGCCTCCTCCCTGGTCGTCCTTGCGATCTCTAATACCTGTTTATTGTTGCAGTTTCACAGGCCCTATGCTGTGTTTACAAGCCTGCTGATGTTGCATTACAAATGAGATTGACATTTTCAAGTAAAGTTTAATTTGTTGAAGCCAACCAAAGGACTTTAAAAGGCCTTCCTATAACAAGCCTGAAACCTTTACAAGAGCAAATATTTAAATTTAAGTTATTTTGATCAGAATTTCAATTAACAGATGCATTGAATTTGGGTTTAAAATAGAAGGGAAGGACATTCATTTTGCATTTAATTTCCTTTCGCTAGACTTTCCCTTACCGTCCTCATGAAAATTTATGAACTCTCACATTTTACAATTCGCTATTAAGTGCTTCCGAGCCATAGAAAAAAAAACAGAAAAGGGCGGACCAAATAATCAAATTGCAGTTTCCAGCTGTCATAGTCATAGTCGTGTAGCCGCACCCGGTTTCGCATTCATGTTTTGGGGTATTTTCCAGAAAACCCGGCAAAAACGGAGCTTGCGAAAAAAATCTGTTAGAAATCCTATTTATATTTCGAAACAATAACCATTCAATTCCATCTAACGACTGGCCACTGGGCACTGGTCACCGGCGAGCATAACGAACCAATTGAGCCGGAGCCGGACCCGACCCTTGGGGGCGGCTAACTGGTAAAGAGTGTGGGTGTGGCAAGGGCAGGGGGCATTGGGGGGCATGGGGCTGTAGCACTGTTGTGGCATTTATTACCAATTGCTATGGCGGCGCCTTCTGTGAAAAATTCGCCCAGCCTTTAAAGCGGAAGCATTTGCAATGGCTGCAGGACATGAGCGGCAGAAGACCAACAGGACACCGCAGGCGCGACGACACAAACAAAACGTGATTCGCATACAAATAAACAAGGATATGGAGGACATCCCACACAAGCTGGGTGACCCTTTGGCTGCTCGGAATTGAAACAAATGCCACAGCACAGGGCGTGCCTATAAATTTTTCACCAAATACATTGGCCATAGGTGCAACTGCAACTGCAGTGGGCCAGTGGGTGGGTGGTGCACCCTCGTTTGTGGGTGGGTGTGTGCCTGTGGCTGAGGCACAAAAGGGTCGTGAAATGACCAACCGGGGCATTGTTTAGAGGCCGGTGTTCAACTGCCCGCACACGGACAACATTTGAATTCAAAGCAGGCACTGTCGAACGTTGATGTTTCCACTCAGACTGGGGCACTGCGAAAAAGTTTCATATCGCTTAAGGACCTTGGTCTCATCCTAACAAACTTTTACAGAAGGCTAACTCCCCATTTTTCCAGTGCATGCTTCCAATCGTCCTCGCATCAATATGGCCCTGACATCTTTACCGGCCAAGCTGCTTAGCTGCCGCCTGTCAGTGGCAATTACGTCCGGGTGGCGAGTTCAAGTTGCTGCACAAATCACGGCGCGAAATGAAGAGCCAACTATCAACCTCAGGCTGCCTCCCAACCTCCCGGTCTCCCGGCCAGCCGGCTGTCCTTGCAGTTGCACCTTGATGCATGTGCCGCAATTCCGGGCGAGTTCATGCTGATCATTTGTCCTGGCGCTCCTGCAGCAGCAGGACGAAAATCTGGAGAAAATCCCTCGGCTCACGCCAAGCTGAGTGTGACGAGCATTTTGGCAATAGTTTTGCTGACTCGGCCAACTGCTCACCTGGACGGCAAATCCCTGGGAACGAGCTGCCCAGGAATTCCATCAGCTGATCGATTAGTCGTTGCTGGCGCCTGGCGAAGCAAATACTTTCGTCCTGGGACCGCCTGTCACTGGCATGTGGATGTGGCCAGTTTGGATCCTTTCCTTAACCCATCTGCCCCCGAGCCGGCCCGTCCAACGCCCCGGCATCCCACCGGATGTCACGTTTTATGGCTGCCAGTGCGAGTTTATCTTTGGCCAACAGCGTCAACGTCTGTTTCGAGTCAACGGGCCACGTTGCTCGCATATCCTTGGCCATTTTGTTGCAATTTTGATGTGAACTCGAATGCACTTGGACTGGAACCCCTTACTTGGGGAGTATATAGTGTGATGGTTGTTTATAAAACTGCATTTTTTTCTCCACTAGTGAGGTAGGGGATAGGATTTGCAATTGCCCTTTTTTTGTTGTGATTGCATGGTATCTGGGCACACATTCCTTTTTTGATTCAACATCGCCACTTAACCATCTTCCTGGCATTTTGTACGAGAATTGCTGTCTTGCCACTTGGAAAAATTCTTCGTTCGCTAAATTGAGCAACGTTTTTCCAATTTAAAGAAAAAATAAACAAAAATCGAATCGAGTGGCCCGGCATTTCGTTTGAAGTGTGTCGGAGCGATGTGGCTCATTAGGAGCTCAACTTCTCCGCAAAAGTTGATCAAATTTAATCATGAAATCGTATGTAAATATTTGAGGGACCCCAGGACCGCCGTTAACTTTAGGCCTTGGCTCTAATGAACCATTCAGCAAATACCAGTCTGAGTTGGAGGGTGTGAGAGTGCGAGTGTGTGGCGATAATCACTGCATATGAATTAAAAAGTTTTTCGGGTGAATGCGAAAATATTTTGTAGTTTAAAGCAATTTGAAGTCATTTGGAGCCAATTTACAAAATGTCTGTCTTGGCGAGAGCGTGTGTGTGCAAATGCAATTACACTCACACACACACGAGCGAGTCCTGCCACCAACACATTCGAAACTGTTTGTTTGGCAATGCGCTCAGCCATTCCGACATTTCATCGTCACTCGTCCTTTTTCGTTATTTCTTTTTTTTTTTTTAGCTGCAAATGAGTCATGCTAATGGCAAACCATTAGCAAAAATGCTCCTGCGAGTCCGTGTGAGGGCGATAATTAAGTTGGGCGCTGGTGTGCGTGTGTGTCTGCAGCGGCAGCGGCGAAATGAAAGAGAAATGTGATTTTGAAGGCTGTTGTTAAATATTTAAATGTATTCCGCGGGCCAAAGCCATTCGCTTTGTCAGTAGTTGTTTCTGGCGAGGGCCGTTGATTGCTCTGCCAAGTCTAATTGCAGTGTAGGCCCAAAAAAAAGAATTACTGAAATTGCACACAAAAGCGGCTCTTTCAAGGTGGCACATTAGAAAAGGCCTTGAAACTAGATCGGGGAGGGAATATCCATGCAAGCCATAAAGTTCCAACTATTTATGATTGAAAAAGTTTGGTGTTTATCGGAAATTAATTGGCAAAAACAAAAATGCTTGTAATTCAAGCAAATTAGTTTGAATATTTTATTTACTTTTACCTTTAATTGAGCCAATCATCGCGCTAATTGCGCCAGCTATTAGGCTCCGGGCAAACAAAGCGCGGGTGGCCAGCCAGATATTTTATTGTTATGGGGCAGTGCTTCAAAATTGCACTTTAATGACTAATTTAGTTTTTGTGGAGTATGAGTCTTCACACAAGCACGGCCTCGTAAAGACAGGACATAAAAGACGGCCGGGACGTGGCTGGATAGTGGCAGGACATGAGTGTCAGCGGAAGCGCACACTTGAGCAATGGCGATACGACATTTCCTTAATGAAGCCCACTAACACAAAGTGCCGTCCCCCGGCCACCGACCTCCCCTGGAATAATTGTGGCCGCAAAGGGCATAAAAGTTTATGGCCATGGCATCTAACTCTGCTCATTTGGCTGCATACGACCCAGGCGAACTAGACGGGGCCGACAACAGGGCGTATGGGTAATTATAACAAGTTGGAACTTTCTGACAGCGCTCCATTTGTGCACTTGTCAGCTTTTTGTCATGTCACCCATGTCTCTCGATGAGCTGTCAAAGTCCGCAGTCTGCAGTTTGCATTCAGTTTCAGTTTCCAGAGTTTGGGGTTGGGTTTTGGGGCACTCACCTGACACTAGCAGCTCACTGGTGCTGTTGACCAAATTGTCCATAATTGGCTGGAATGTGTAAAACGTCAGCGTTTCCAATTTGTTTGCCTGGACGTTGATGGAGAGGAGGGCCGGAGTGCCGCGGAGCAGGCCGTTGTCTATTTTCTTCAGGAGGTTGTTGCGCAAGTTGAGGGTCTTTAGGTTATTCAGGCCATCCAGAGCGCGCTCAGAGATTCGCTGAAATGGGTATTCAAATAAAACATAGTATATTTAATAATTATAATTCATATATTTAGTTTAACTCACTTATAAACTAACACCATTCTTAATTTCATTAAGTGCGAATGTAGTTTCAAAGCTACAAAGTTGAATTTCATCCAAAAACTGGGTTAATAGTAGCATAAACATTAGATTTTTACTTTTTTGCTTAAATTTGATTAAACTAAATTTTTATCGGTGGCGTTTTCTGTGCCAGGGTCTCGTATGTATGGCGACCGCAGAACAAACAAAAACCGAAAAATATTTTCGTGCTGCCATTTTTCCGCATTTCTGCGTATTATTTTCATTGTTTTTCACAGAGTTTCGCTTTTCGTCGGCCATTGTTGTTGTCATTGTCTTCATTGTTTGTTTGCGTATTTATTTATGTGTATGGAATAGCACAATCACACACACTGCTACACTGCCACACTCGCACACCCCACACTCGCACAACCCACACCCCCACGTATGAATTCGCAAATTTGTATACACGAGTGCTTGTTTTTTTAACTTGTATGTCCCGATTCGTTTGTCTTGAATTTTATTATACGGAAAAAAAGTGTTTTCTTTTATTTCATTCTGGTTTCTGTTTTGTTGGCCGAACAACGAACAACGAAAGTGAAGGCCCCACGCCTTGTTATTTAATATTCAATATGCTTTGTCTGGGGAAATGGAAAAATTATGCATATTAAATGCCGAGTCGAAGACCGGGGAAGCATGTGCCAAAGTCCTCTACTACTGCCGTGATGTACCATTGAAAAATATCCTTCAATCTTTGCTTTTCTCACACCACCTGTCCCTGTTTGTTTATTTGCCAAGATGATTGACATAAAAAATATATTTTATTGCGATATTTTGTTAGTTTGATGAGCGATTCTCCGATGCCTACGAGCCCGATTTATTAGCTTGCCAACAGCCCAACAAAAAAACATATAATTTACGAGCGATTTATGTGCGGATTCAGTAAACAAAGTTATGAAAAGGGGAGCGTGGTGGGTGGCCTGAGATTCGATTGAAAGCTGTCTATCTTGGGAAGTGTACCATAGAGACTTTAATAATTTCTCGTCTTGTCTCCCCTAAAAGTTGTTAATTTCCTTTTCACTTTCACCTAATGCACTCGCTTAGATACTTATCCCCTTAACCCGCTTATCTGTTTATCTCCATCCCTGGACGCTTTATGTTGTGTCAGCCCTAAACCTTTTAACGGCAAATGATTTATGAAGTGAGCAAAAACAAGAAAGGAAAGCTAACTTCGGGCGGAGCCGAAGTTTATATACCCTTGCAGTTAAAACCGGATATATATCGCAAACATCGGATATAGTTGGCCGATCCTTATGGAAATAGGAAAATATAATCCAATTTATTACAATACAAAATCTAAAAAGAGTCCCAAACTTCTATCTTCAAAAATACGAAAGTTGATATTTCTACCAAATACCATTTCCGATCGTTCAGTTATATGGCAGCTATGGGATATAGTCGGCCGATCCTAATGAAATTTGGTAGGTTGGGTCAACTGACCAAAAATAGAATCTGTATTAAATTCCAGCTTTCTATCTTCAAAAACACGAAAGTTGGGTCATTTCCGATCGTTCAGTTATATGGCAGCTATAGGATATAGTCGTCCGATCCTTATGAAATTTGGCATGTCGTAATGTTTTGCTAAAAATAGCTCTCGTGTCAAATTTGAACTCTCTAACTCTAAAAACACCAAAGTTATACCATTTCCGATCAATCAGTTATATGGCAGCTATAGGATATAGTCGGCTGATCCCGGTCGTTCCGACTTATATACTGCGTGCAAAGGAAAGAAGGGTGTGTGCAAAGTTTCAAGTCGATAGCTTTAAAACTGAGAGACTAGTTCGCGTAGAAACAGACAGACAGACAGACGGACAGACGGACAGACGGACAGACGGACATGCTCATATCAACTCAGGAGGTGATCCTGATCAAGAATATATATACTTTATAGGGTCGGAGATGTCTCCTTCACTGCGTTGCACACTTTTGGACAAAATTATAATACCCTCTGCAAGGGTATAAAATGGGCCAAAAGAGGAAAGGAGGGCCCAGGCCCGGGCCAAACATGCAACACAATTTGCTTTTATTGAAGGCGACAACGGCGCACGGACACCTAACAAAGTCGCCAAGAAAGGAGCCCCAAACTAATGCTGGGACATGGGATTCCCGGGCTGGAAACAATGCGCAGCGTAGGCGATAACAAGCCCAATCATTATGGCCACGACAATGCGGCAAGGAAGAAGATGGATCCAGGACCCCACTTGAGCGGCTGCTCTCGAGTGTCCTGTCCTAGTGGCCTGACACATATGCGAGGAATCGTCTGAGTGTGACATGATATGCGAGCACTTTGTAAAATGGGAAAAATGAAGCACGGTTCTCTGAAGCTCTGAAGGAGCACCAGGAAAAAGCTAAAGCAACAAACCAAAAGGAAAAAAACCAGAGGAGGCAAAGGGACAGGGCCAGGAAGGAACAATGTTGGCCCAGGATATGGATATTCAGGATTTACGCTCATACGGCTGCCCTGCATATACGCTTACATAACTTTGTATGCTCCGCTTGGAGTGTTAAGCGACATTTTTCTATTTACCATGGCCATTTTTATAGCCAGACCCGCCCAGAAGGGTCCCGCATATCGGGATATCAGATGGCGCAAGGACGAGCGAGCAGAAAGGAGCGCCATAAATCCATTATTCCCATGATTTGTTATTCAATATTTTGTAAGTAGATTAACTTGCGGCACACATTTGTTCGCCGCAGCGCCGAAAGGCGACTGTCAGCGTGTGGTCCGATGGGTCCGAGGGTAAATGTGCGAATTAAGCCACGATCCCTACAGGACCTTCCTCGTCTCTCGTCTTGTTTGGGTCGCACCACCACCAACCGAAGAACACATAATTTACCAATCTATTTATCATATTTTCGGCCCGGCACTCCTGCTCCGCTCCCAGTGCTGAGTGACCACTTAAATCACCACAAGAATAGACATTCGAATTGAATTTATGACACCAGTAACACACACACGAAAAAAAAAACAAAAAGTTGTGTGTGTTTAGTGTCCGCTCGCCCCAAGGCAGTGCCATTTATGGTCCTGTCCCGCTCGCCCTCGTCCCTTCTGTTTCTTATGGCCACTCGGCAATTTATGGCCTCTTAAGTCAGTTGGCCCAACTTGACCAAGTGGCGCTGCCAGACAAATCTTTTTAATCCACTTGCATTAGAGTTGATTGAGAAGTTTTGTCCTCCAGGATCCCCTATCTCGTGTCCTGTATCCCCCAGATTGCACTGGTACGTGGGGCGTCATAAATAAGCAGTCAAAAAACTATTCCAAGGCCCGTAAATATGCACTCGAAAAGCCAATCAATTTGCAAATTAATGGCGGGGTCTTTAGTGTCCTGCTTAGTTCTGGCTATTTTCCTGCTCTTATAAGTATGCTACATTGTACGCCGTACTCACCTCGATTCGATTGTCGTCCAGCTCGAGTTCGCTGAGGCTCCACAACTCCGCAAAGACAGTGTCTCCGATGAAGTTCAGATTGTTCCGGGTCAGCTTCAGGACATTCAGGTTGCCCAGGCCTCGGAATATCTCGCTGGTCAGCACGTTGATCTGGTTGTGGGCCAAGTTCAAGTACGTCAGCCGGGCCATGTCGGCGAAGAGCCCCTCGTGGAGGGTGCTTATGTTGTTGTTGTTGAGGAAGAGCCTCTGGCAGAGCGGCAGGTTGCGGAAGGCGTAGCGGTCCATCTCGAAGATTTGGTTGTGCTCCAGGTTCAGGTCCTGCAGCCTGATGTGGTTGGCGAAGGCGTCCTGGTCCAGGGCCATTATGTGGTTATTGTTGAGGATGATTCTCTCGAGGAAGGGCAGGTTGGCGAAGGCGTAGCTCTTCACAATCTCCACCTGCGAGTACTCAATCACGATGCTGCTCAGGTTCTTCAGGGGCTCGATAATCATGGTGGGTATGTAGTCCAGCCGGGCATTGTTCTGGATCACGAACTTGAGCTCCCGCAGGCGCTTCTGCTGGTAGAACCGGGTCCAGGTGGTGTCGTTCTGGTGCAGCCCCTCCGAGAATATCCAGCACTCGGCCTTCTGCACCGGCACGTGGTTCTCGTCCGGGGTACAGTAGCACATCAGCTTCATGTCCCGTCGCCGCGTGCAGAATCCAGTGCTGTCCATGGGTCCACTGTAGCCGACGCTGCCGGAGTTCACGGCACTGCTGCTGGTAAAGACGTATCCGCCAGAGGAGCCGGGCGCCGTCGAGGAGGATCCCCCGTATCCATAGCCGTTGTTGCCGCTCGTGGAGGCCGCCGCCGAGCCGTTGCTGCCACGTCCCCGGCTGCGGCGCTCCTCCTTGGAGCGGGCGTCGGTGGGCATGGTCATCAGCAGGACGAGGGCGAGCAGGAGCATTGCCGGAGTCGCCATTTTATGGCGCTGATGATGCGGCAACATTTTGATTCGGTTTCTAAATCCCAGTGGAATGGATTCTGGAAAAGGAAACAATACAGAATGACTTGGTTAATAAAATTTGTTTCATTCATTCGGAGGTTGAGGTGCACTTGAAGAAATTAAAGAGTAGGTTTGAATCTAAATCATAAATGGACTTAAAAAGGGGGTTTCTAATATTCTAAGGTTTAAAAGTTGAAATGATATGGCCATTAAGAATTCTTTTTGGCATTCAAACATTCAAGGTAACCGAAATTTTAAGCCCAGAGTTGATAAAGCATTCATTTGGGCCTTACTCCTTCTTTATTGTTGCCGGAGCACTGGTGGAAAGTGCTTCATAAAAATGCTAATTAATGTTGTTAACTTTCTCACTTTTGCTCATATTTCATTTGGCACAATTCACGAAATTCCGCGGTGGGCTTCATCCCCGCCACCTACTCCCAGTTACCCCCATGGACGTGGAATTGGCCTGTTCTGCTGCCTCCCGCTGGTTTTCATTTGACGCTCGGCTGCTTTGTCACTTTACCCGCCAGATATCGGGGGATGGGATATCAACTGCCTCATCCCACGCTTGCCACTTGCCACTTGCCACTGTTACCCCCATAAACAAATTTATCGAGCTCATAAATAACTGCAACACTGTCGCTGATTGTTCCCTCAATGGCAGTGGCAACGGCAATGGCAACCGGCTTGACTGGAAATTGCCTACAAACTTTTCCCTCTGGTCCCGCACTTTTGCATTTCAAGTGTCATTGGGCAAAGTGCTCTCTAATTATGCTCGTATTTTTTAATAAATTAATAAGTCACACTGACACTGGGCATATTTCGGATTCTCCGGCTGGATGCTGGATGGCTGGGCTGGCTGCTAGCTGCCGGCGGACTACCGTCTGGATGGCATAATGAAGTGTAAATAAGTTATTGTCAGTTGTCAAGTGAGTTATCGTCGTTATCGACAGTCAGGCCAGTGATTTGCATAAAATATTGTCGCAATAAAAGGCCAAAAGCGGCCTTGGGGGAGGTTGGAGGTGGTGGAGGTTTTCAGAAATCACTGGGATTAGACTGATGGAAAGCCGAAAGTCACTTGAGTTATTGACTCGGGCATGCTTCATTACATTGATTTCGATTATAAATTTTAAATAAAACGATGATAAGTGCTGCGTAGCATGATGCCATGCTTATTCCGGCTTAGCTGGCTCTCCTCTGGCCCGGAATTCCCCTTCTGAGCCCGGATTCCGGATTCCGGAACCTCTTGGCCAAAGTTCAGGGCTCAAGGAGCATTAGAAGTGGCTCACACCGCAGGATTAAGTACTCAAAATATACATGAAAACTTTGGCGTCGTGCGGTACCAGACGGCAGCTGAAGATGACTTGATGACTTCAATTTAAATATCAAAGCAAAGGCGAAACTAAAATGTCCTTGCCAAGGCACACACCAACGCACTCTCAGACGAGAGCACACGGATACAGATACACATCTGGCCGCAGCAGCCGCAACTCGGCTATATAGCTGGCTGGCTGGATATTTCGGATATTCTGGCAGGTTTTAAGTGTGTTGTCGAGCAGCAAATCAAAAATTCCACTCCTGAGAAATGCATGTGTGGGTAATTAGATTTTAAAGAGAGTCAGTGAATGGAGGATGTCAAGGGGTACTTGCACTAATAATAGAGCTCTGAAGTTTTTAATTCATACTAATCACTTCTGACTGTCTGCTGATTCTTGTTAGGAGAAATTGCTTTTTAAACTTTAAACTTTTCATTTTGATTGAAATAAGCTATAATTTATGGCAGTGTATATATGTGCCACATATGCAGCACCGCGACTCTGACAGCCAATTACTCAAAGGCATGAAAGCCCAGAAAATGCGAGGAGGAGCGTGGCAGTATGAGCATTACAAGAAAATGAAAAATCAATTTGTTGATTATGCATAAATCATAAGATTTATGCGACTCCTCACTCGGCATTCATGAGTCATTTATCAAACGGGCCGGCTTCTTTTTCGCCTTCATGTCAGAATCACAAAAACAGGAAGCGACGAAGCGAATCACGAATCGGAGTGGCAGGAGATGGTCCATCCATTCAGACCTGAACTAAATAAAGGGCATAGGAGATAATAATCTGTAGTAGACAGAGTCTAGTTCTAGAAATCATGTCTGGGAGATTAAAGGCAAGCCGGAACGGAATTGATCTTTCAGGCTTAAGTTCTTCATCTCGAAAGTGAGCAAACTCGGTCGTCGCTAGAAATAGCAAGCCAGGGCGACAAACAATTACCAAGAAAATTATTCCCCCAAGGGGAATATCGAGCAAGATGTTTGCTCCTCGGAAAGAGCAACATTTTGTAGGCAAAACAGCAGCTACAGCCAGCTTGTGGGATAAACAACATCTACCAGGAGCCGGAGCCTTCAACCATGCTAGGGAGTCCTATTAGAAACACTTAGTATAGGATAACTTACTTCAACAGAATTAATCAAACACAAGCCCTACTATTATGTGTATATTAAATATAAAATAGTCACAAGTCTGGAATATTATTTAGTAAATTAAACTATTTATTGCAGCAACAACTTGAACGAAAGTAAGAGCCACTGCAACCATAACAGGGCCAGCAACACCAGCAACTACAGCCGTGACGAGAAAGGATACGGGGCTGGTAATGTCGAGGAAAATTGCAACAAGAAGCAATTTGTCTTGTTGTTTATAATTTCGATTAAACTTTCGAGGCATACGTTTGTGTGTGTGTTTGCGAGTCCTGGCGAAAGTGTGTGTCTCGGAGTGAGTCTGCGTGCAAACAATGTGGCATGCAAAGGGAGCAAGTCCCCGCCAAGGGGACGGAGCGTGTGAAAGTGTGACAGAACTGTCGACAAGGCGAGGAGCAGCAACAGCAACGGCAACGGCAACGGGAGCAGCAACATCAACCGCAGCAACAACAATGATGACGGCGACCCAGTGGGAAATTGGAGCAAAGCCGCAGCTAAGCTGACAGCCCGACTGCGACTGCGGCAATTTCCCAGGGAGACCAGTAACACACACTGGGCCACACTCATATCTGCACAACCCGCATTATATTTTCCAGCAATTGTTAACTTTAAAGAGGCATACCTAAGACCTGCAAACTTTATGCAAACACGAGACTCCAAAGCCCGATTCTGAGGTTGATCAAGACAAGAGACTGTCGAGGCAGCTGCCAGGCGGCCGGGCTGGGGCGTGTGTGGAAATTGTTTTCAATTTTCGTTATTTGACAAATGGTGACACTTCCGCTGTGGCAGTCAGGACATCCAGTCAACCAGCCAGGCCGGCTAGCACCATCCCCAGGACTCCGGCCAGGACTCTAACAATATGTACACATCTTCCACCCCAGCTCCAGCTCCAGTGCCAGCTCGAGCTTCATCTTCAGCTTCAGCGCCATTGCCATTCCACGTCTGTGTGTCATGAGGTTTTGTCAACAATAAGTTTTTACGCCGGAAGACTCGTAGTTGTTTATGGCAGTTCCCCATCAGCTGCAGCATCCCCAGCTCCCCACCTCCGACTGGGACCTATCCCATGCCTATCCCCAAACCCATCATCGTCTTCATCTTAATCAGCAGCGGTGGCTTTGGGTTGGAGTACACGTGAAAAAATTATTTACTGGGGGGATGAAGGATATATCAATCTATAAACCTATATAGATCCACAAAAATTAGGCCAAGACTTGAACAGGACAGGAAACAGGAAAGACAGGACTCTTGGTATTAATATTTTCAATAACATGTTTTTATAAGAACCTCCACTTTATTTTAAAAATCAAATGCAATTCTTCTTCAGTGTATAGAAATAAATACAAGACCTGTGTCCCTATCATGTGAATATAACCTTAAGCTGCGACATGAACGCAGCTCGGACGTGCTTGACATTGACTGACTGACTCGTGAGGTGGAAGTGCTGGACTGGCTACTGGGATGGGGTCACCAAGGATGGTCGCTTCCATTTAGTTTAGCTGCAAATAAAACGAGGAGCTAAAGGAGGCTAGTAAGAGCAAAAAGAACTCGGTCCAACTTGGTCAGTTGGACAAACTGCAGTTCCTGTCCGAGTTGCCTGATCCATATCCACCATTTCGTGTCTGACAAATGACGCAAAGCCAAAACGGCAGACGAAACATAGCCATCAATCAGTGGGCCAAGTTATGACGTCCGCACGTCCCTATCGTCCCTATCGTCCCTATCGTCCCTATCGTCCGCTCGTCCTTTCCTTGGCCACGTTTTATTCGCATTTTTATTAAGGCTCACAATCATTCGGATTTGTCTTTGGCTTGCGTCACTTGTCAGCGCCAGTTGGAGTCTGCTTCGATCAAATCTGGGGGATTTGCTCAAATCGCAGGAAGTGGGCTGTGGTGGGTGGCCATCCCCAGATATATATTTATTGTCAGCCATGTCACACTTCATAAATATTTCATAAATTGCTTCGCATTTATTTTGACAGTCGCGCCAAAGTTTCGACTGCCATTTGTTAACCCTTTCAGCTGCCGCTGTTGCTGCTCCAGCTCCTGCTCCTGCTTTTGGCTTTTTTTGTTTCTTGGCCCGGTTATTGTTATTTCTGTTATCATGCGAGGCAGTCATTGCCAGCTGTCACACATATTGTCCTTGGGAGATCCTTCACCTCCTGCTACGGTTCGAATACATATTGCCGAAAAAGGCACACATAAAATGGAATTCATGTACCGCTCCTGCTTAGTCCCGGCCCCCGTCGAAGCACTCGCACTTTCCGACTACTTTTAACTTTGGTTCCATTTCCCCAGGACCCAGGATCTGCTCTTCATCGTCCTTTGCTCGAACGTTTTTTAGCTTTTAGCATACCTGTCAGCAAAATAAAATGAAAACTAGTTGCCAGAGCAAACTTTCGCTCTTCTTCGCCTTAGAAGCCTGTCCCAATATTGTTGACACATATTTCTGAGAAAGAGCCCTAGATGGCTGGCTGGCTGACTGGATGGCTCTATGCATATGCCTGCCACGCCCCTATGCGGCAGACAGACTACGCCCCACTGCACTTGAGCTGGCTGGCACATTACTTTGGCCGTCACTTTGCCCGCCGGTTTTTATTCCCTCGATTTTTACGCCGAATTTTTTGTGGCCTGCTTTCCCCGGATTTAAGTTGTGCTGCACAATTTGTTTGCTCACCTGCCGCCCCTCGGGTGTCCTACTCTGTTTTTTTCTGCCACTTTCGTGAGTCCTGGCAACTGCTTAACGCCCAAATTGGCAGCACCTGGCCAAAAGTGTTGGTCCTGCCAGATAAGTAGTCGACGGGGCTTTTCTTCTCCGGCTTTCCTTTGCTTTTCTTCAGCTTTTCCCCCTTCGCCCATTTTTTTTTCGTTGGTCTGTGTGCTTTGACTTTCAACGAGGAGCGAAATTATTTTCGCTGTTGCAAGTTTGTTGCAACTTTTGCCTAACGCAAAGTGAAAATTTGTCATGCTCGTTGAGCTTCTTCAGCCGGGCCCGGTCCCGTGCCCCTGTCCTGATATAATAAATTCCTTCAGTTAGGGAAAAATGCTCCGCAAAGACAAACACAAGCTCGGGCACAAACACGGCAAAACATAAATACGGACTTGGCAGACAGACTCCAACTTTTAACTCACTTGCCAAAATATTTTAGCAATTTTTGAATAAAACATTGCCAAGATTCCAGACATGGCAGCATCGTTTTGACAGCCCCCTCCGGTGAGTGAGGGGCTGCAGTACCTGCTTAGTTTAAAAGTGAATTTCATAGGGGTCTGAACTTAATTAGTTGGAATGCCAGACTCTTACTTGTGCTTCTGAGAAGCCCCCTTAGTACTCCACTTACCTTTCGATAGAGTCCTGGAAAGGGCCAAGTCACGTACGCTGGCAGACCTCGATCTGCTGACTAATGCAATGTCTCTGCAAATACATAGAGAGAGGGACACGAATTAGTTGCTTATTACGTATTATAATGTCATGTTTTGGTCTTATTACGGCATGTCCAAGCCACCCCTGAAATTATATAGGGCCTGCAATTGGAGTATTCCTAATTCATGAGCCTCGAAGGTGGGCCTGGAACCCTAATGGAAATTACACATTAAATAAACCATGCAGGGAAAATATTTGATAGAAAAGGGAAAAGCCATAGTCATGCTACGAAATAGCCATAATATCCAGCCTAAATATTAAAAAAGCAAATACATCTCAGCTGTTGAACTTTTAAGCCTGTTTTTTCTAAAATTAGCATTTTTGCACAAAGGAGCCTGGCCCAACATTTTTCATAGCTCTCCATTATGGTTGTTTTTTGTGCCCGAGCTGGCTTTTAATGCCCGTTTGTAGGCCTGAAAGATCAAAGGCTTGGCTCGGGCCCAATCTAATTGCGTTAATTTTCCAGTAATTGTGGTCCAACTAAGTTCGCTTCGCAGCCGGGACATGCGATAACGTAAACAGCAGAACACCAGAACACCAGAACAGAGCCGGCAACAAAGGAAAAACTATTAACACGAAGGGGACACTGGGTGAGGTCCTGCCGGGCCAACGAGCCAAGGGGCTGAGGGGTCATGTGTGCGGGGAATGCGTGGACTGGGCTGGGTTCACCCGCCACGTGGGCGTGGATGGCGCGTTATTCAAATAGTTTCGTTTGCCGGGCAATGAGAAGGCGATAACAAACGGCGATGACGACATCCCAAGGCGGTTTCCCCTGAGGGCGGGGCACGCCCACATATGTGGAGTAATATGACAGGGGGGGGTGGGGAGGAGAGGCCTCTATGAAAATGAAAATGAAATAATTGCATTGGCTACGCCTAGCGAGGAGGCACAAAAAATGCTGACCTCTCCCCGCCACTTTAGGAAAGCGGATGACGGTGGGGGTGGTTCCAGTACTCCTGGGGGCTGGGGTTATGTGTGTTTGCTGCAATCATAAGCCTCCAACGCTTGCTGACCATTTCTGGCGTTTTTTTTACTCATTGCCGTTAATTATGCCCGCATTTCTGGGCTCCCCCGATCTAGCTCGCTTTTTTGCGGCCTGAGTGTGGGCGAATCCACTTTTTGTGTTATTTGAATATTTAATAAGATTTATGCCATTCATGCCGTCGATGCCTTCTCGTGATTAAGCATTGAATAATTGCTGACGAAGGAAAGTCTTGGGGCAGGGGCAGTGCTTTTGTGGCAAACCGAACAATTGTCTGGTAGTCTGGAGGTGGATGGAGTGGCGCACTACGGCTCTGGAGTGGGAGGATATCAGGCATCTAAATTTGATTGTCGGTGGAATGTCAAACAAGTTCAAACGGCGGCTGCCAGTGGCAACCGACCGAGTCGACGGACCGACCGGCGAAGCCAAATGAAACCTCAGAAAGGCTGTCGAACAACAGCGGAAAAATCAGGAAAATGCCATGCCCCCCATGCCTTATGCCCGGGGGGAAAACATATGGAAAATTGGATTCAATGACATTGATTGCTCAATTGGGTGAGGTTTTCCGTAAAGTTAGTGAGGGGGTATACAGGTAAACATTGTATTTGCTTCGTAATCTGATACCGGAACACAAAAACGATATAATGTTTGGATCATTATTGAAATTATTTGGTTTATGGCCAGTCCTTGAAGGTAAATTAAAGAACGAAAGTAGGAAACTAATGTACTTTAAGTAAGTCACCTGCCAAGGTAGAACACTCTTACTGGATTTGATTAAAATTCATTGCTCCCCTCACCCGCCAGGACAGGTGCTTTTATTTACCCACATTTGAACAATTTGAACAATTTGCATGGATAACCCTGGGAGTCGCTTTCGGAAATTGTTGCAGCGTTTCCATTCCACGTGTGTGGGGCAATAAAAATTTAATATAATTACGCACAATTTCCAGTTGGAGTTTATGGCAGAGACATGCCCGCCCAGCCGACCCACCCAGAAGCCCAGAGAAGCTCATTCTTGGCAGGACGCGACGTGACTTTTGACAGCTCCTGGGCTGAGGTCCTGGCATCTCGCTTGCTAGGCACTTTATGAGCCTCCGCCGCCGCTGCCTCGCCAAGACAAACATAAACACTTGTGCCTCAAAGGCGGAAAGGGGCGGCTGGAGGGCGTGGCGCACTGCAGCTGATTTCATAAAGTGTAACAAGCCAAAGCTTTGAGCTCAAATGCTGCGACAAATAAGCGACAGCAGAGCCCAAAGCATCTCAGCAACAAAAAGTTTGCCAAGTGTGTGGCGGCAGCCACCCTCCACCCTCACCCACCCAGGCGCAAGGACTCACGCACAGGACATGGAGGAGACACCGCTGCGAGGGCCTGCGAGTTAAATATTTGTCTCGCTTGTTTACATTGAAGACCCCAAAAGCAAAGTTGCCACACGACTCCCGGCCCGGGGGCTCCGAATTGTGTCGCCACGCCCCGCAGGATAGCAAGTCCTCGAACCCCCTCGGCGGGTTGTTATTTCTTAATATTGAGAGACGCGGATGATATGGGAGAAAGTGGAAATCCAGGAGGAGAATGAGAACTGATACTTTTTAAACTCTACCGATAAATCTTAATTCTTCCACAGGACTCTATTAGAGGGCATATCCTTGAAGAACTCCTGCTCCTGCTAATGTAATTGGGTAATAAAGCTGCTTGGGAGAGTGTTGAACAGCACCTGTCCCATTACCCACTATATAAACATTAGTGACAAAAAATAATTAGGCCAACACAACAGCAACAGGACGAGCAGGACAAACAGTTGGCCGCATTTTCGGTTCGGCTGACGTTCTTCGCTGGACTCCTGGCCATGCTAAATGGTCATAATCAACTTCCGTTATGTCCACACCCACGGCCATGACCATGGCCAGGACCCGCCTTACAACAAATAAACAGGGATATAAAAACCATGAAACTGATTTTTCACGCCATTTTCATTTACATTTTTGCGGTTGTTTTTTTGGGCCGCTCGCGAGCTATCTCCCTCGCACACGCACACGCTGGAAGCGGCAGTGGCAGTGGCAGCGGCAGCGGCGGCGTCCTCGTTGGAGAACGCATGTGTAATTAAAATATAATAATTTCCCCGAATACCGCAACAAGCAAATAAACAAACAAATAGCAAAGCCCGGCGAAAGGAAAAGCTGGAGCAGCGAAAGCGAAAACAAAAGGAGCCAGAGCCCTGAAAAAACACAGGGAGAGTCCTGGAAAATGATGGAAATGCGGGACAGCTTTCACTCAAAACAAGAATACAGAATACCCTTGAAAGTGCTTGTTTTTATAAAAAATATTTTACTTAAAGCTCTGCCCTTTGGAATAAAGATTGAATTTTCCAAAGTAAGGTATAAGAATTTAAGGACGTTTAAGGATCTTAAATCTTGACTATCCTTGAGTCCATCAGAAATACCCTCTGCTAGGGCATTATTATAGTAGACACTGTATTTATGATGAAAGTTTCGAGTGGCCCGGGAGAAAGTGGGGCGAGATTGTCTCTCCTGGGGCTAGGGCAGGTGGGAAGGCACAGGGCCATCTGCCGCAGTCCCTGCCACTGCCAGTGCTGCCAATGATTATGATGATGGCAATCCTGCACGCACAATAACCAGCACAGGTGAGGCCCCACCCCACGTATCCTCCACTGGCTTTCGTCCTTCACCTCGGGCTGCGAAGCACCCACGCCCCACCCATCTCACTTTGTTTTGTGCACATTTGTTACGCTCAATAAATGAAAATGTTCATATAAATATTTCATATTTCTTTCGGCTGCCGCTGCCAGTGTACTTGGGCATGTGCCACGCCCACGCAAAACAGTTTCCGCCCATTAAATTGACATACGCGCATTCGTATTCATTTCCCTTTTTGCGCTTTCTCCTTTCCGCAGTCCGGCCCTTGGCCCTGGCATTTCTTCACTTTTTATTGCTCCTCCTGTTTGCACAAGTCCTGTAATATTTTCGGTTTATGTTTACAGTTGGCAAACGCATTAAAATCACAGATTTACATTTTTTCTCCTTCGTTTCCGGCTCTCACCCGCACGCAGCTGAATAATTTAGTGTCCTTATTGTTGTTGTTGCCGATGTCGCATTATTGAATTTGTATGAGGGGTGGATGGATGATGGAGAGGGGGGGTGTAAGAGGCATTGACAGGACCCACCGAGCTTATTGTTTCAAATGTTTTCTCTGGGATACTTGAGAATGCAAACTGTTGATATCTCACCCGCGACAGCACACCCACACACACCAAAACACACACACATCTTTGATGGGCATAAGTATGTACACCGAAAAAAAATTATACAGTACGTCTGTTAAAAAAAATTTATTAGAGATTTGTAGCTATAGATATTTTTATAAAAACAGTGTTGTTTTTAAGAAAATTATGGTTTTTGGACAAAAGAAAGTGGATATGTAAATATTATAAGCTTAAGTTTCATTACTAACTAATCTTATGATTATTTCTAATGTAAGAAAATGAGTAAATATTTGTATATGTCGATTTAGTGTTATCATTTCACTTATTAGTCATTTTAAAATTTATGAAAAAATCTTTTTTGAAATATTGTATTAGGAAATATGTAAATCACAAATAAGCAAAGTTAGAATTTATATAATTTTTATGAAAAAAAAAGTTACCTAAAAAAAGGTTAAAAAAAGAAAAAAGGTTTTTGACCAAACAAAATTCAACCAGTATATATTATGTGTATTATAGGTGTGTTTTGGTTTAATCACTAACAAAATTTACAAAAAAGGTTCAAACTTATTTAAGTAAATAGTTTTGTGTATGTTTTCGATATACTACAATCGATTCATATCTTTATATACGAAAATAGTATTTTATTACTATATTATTTATTACTTATGTAACTTTAATTTTATTTTTACAAAAATCAATCGAAATAGAAAAATTGATAAGTGCTAGTTAATAAACTAATATTTTTAGTGGCATTAATATTTCATCTTCAAAAATTGAAGAAATCTTTCCTG